TTGCAAGTGCTGGGAAAGGGGGCAAGTCCTGTCAAGGCAGACTGCAGAACCATCTGGAGAATGTAAGATCTGGGGATGGGACTGGACCTAGTAGGGAAACTTTGGGTGCCGCTATGATGCAGCTCCCACCAGTGAGCATGAGAACCAGGGCTGGAGGTGGACATGGTTGGACAGGCGGTAAGACCAACTGGCATAAGGGTGGGATGGATAGTGGAGTAGGTTGGGCTAAGCTAGACTTCAACACCCACTGATGTATACAGAAGGCGAATGAAGAACAGATTGGACCAGTCTGCTGCATATACTGGCATGCACATGAGCCAGGGCTGGGGACAGGCCTCGTGGGAATTACTGGGGATTGTTCTGACTGGGCAGCATTTCCCACTGGTGTACATGAAGACCAAATGTGTGGTGGACTGGGTTGGGCTGGGCCACAGCATCCATTGGTTTATGTAAGAGATGGGACTGGAGACAGAACTGATCCAGCAACTGCAACTACCAGCGTGTGTGGAGACTGATTTGGGTGATGGACTGAGCTGGACCCCACACAGAATAGCACACACAGGAGTCAGATCTGGGGTCACCTCAGATGAACTTTCTTTGGGGACCACTCCCGCACTGTACATTGGACTCAGAACTCCCAACTGTGGGGAGAATTGCAGTATCTGTAGTCTGACCGTGGAATGCATGTTTCAGAACTTGGCCTCCTCAGTTGGTGAGAACGTTGCAGTGGACAGTATGTCCAGATGCACATGGGGGATATGACAGTCAATTGGGTCCTTCAGGGCACATCTGGTACCATGGCAGAGGAAGAACAGCAAAACAAATTGGACAACTCTCCCAGCCAAGCATTGATAGCAAGTATCTGGGAAAATGGAGATTCTGGGGTGGACTATATCAGCCAATGGGCCTTGGAAGGATTTCTTCATCATTGGAGCAAAGAAATCAATAGCATTTCAGAATTATCAAAACCACTTGAGCAGGACCCTTAGAGCATGCTTCACGTTGGGGACCCTGGGATGACATTGGGTGGCCATTCCCTATCCCTGGGTACTGAAGCAGTTAGGATACTGGGTACAGCTTCTACCATTTTCTTTCCCCTATCTCCAGATACTATAAGAAGAAAAAGAACATTGGAAACAAGGATTTCATCCATTTTCTCTTATTCTTGATGCACCACACCATACCTTAATCAATGGTCCACATGGGCATGTATTCTTCTCAACTATGTAAACATTATCAAACATTAAAAAAAAAAAAGGTAATCTATGAGGTATGCTGGCACTTGCAGGTGAAGGGCTAGCCAGTTGAGCCATGGCACTGGGTCTAATTATATATTTTTACATTTTTGATAGTTTGCAATTTTGCACAACAAAGTTAATATGTAAAACTCTCTGAGTTAAGAACATTTTGAGGGAAATAGCATGATAGCTCAGTGGCTAAATTCTTGTCTTGCACATGCCAGGATTCCCCATGAGTACCAATTCGTGCCCCGGCTGCTTCACTTCCCATCCAGCTCCCTGCTGGGGGCCTGAGAAAGCAGCAGATGATGGTCCAAGGCCTTGGGACCCTGTACCCATATGGGAGACCCAGAAGAAGCTCCTGGCTCCTAGCTTCAGATTGGCTCAGCTCCAGCCATTGTGACTATTCGGGGAGTAAACAAATAGATGAATCTTTCTCTCTGTATGTCCTCTCTGTAGATGTGCCCTTCCAATAAAAATTTTAAAAATTCTTAAAAAGAAAATTTTTTTGGATGCAACTCTCTAATCCCATTTCTTGCCTGATTTTTACACTAGCTAGGTTTCTCATTTCTTTCATGGCAATGTTTGGATTAAAATTCAGTAGTTTTACATTTAGTTATCGGAAAGCTTTCACTTTGAACCCATGTACACCCGTGATCCAGACTCAACGATCACACAGTCTTAGGCTATGTTGTTCCATCTATACCCTTTTTCACTTCTTGTCCCCCACACTCAATAATTTTGAACAAATACTTGACTTTAAATATAGGAGTGCAGGTCACTTTCTCATATACAGATTTCATTCCTTTGGATATATTCCCAGATGTGGAATAGTTGTGTCTTAGAGCAAATCAATTTTCAGTTCTCTTAGTATTCTCCACATTGCCTTCCAACATGGTTATACCAGCCTATACTCCCACTACCAGTGAAGGAGCCTCTCTCCCCGCATCCACACTAGCAGATGAAGAGTTCTGAATACAGGCCAATCTCACTGGAGTTAGGTGCAATCTCAATGTGTGTGGTTTTTTTTTTAAAGATTTATTTATTTTTACTTCAAAGCCAGATATGCAGAGAGGAGGAGAGACAGAAAGATCTAAGCTGATCCAAAGCCAGAAGCCTGGAACACCCGCTGGGTCTCCCACACAGGTGCAGGATCCCAAGGCCTCCGGCCATCCCCAACTGCTTTTCCAGGCTACAAGCAGGGAGCTGGATGGGAAGCAGGGCCACCTGGATCAGAACAAGTGCCCATATGGAATCCCAGAGCATGCAAGGCGAGGAATTTAGCCGCTAGGCTACCATGTCCTCTCAAAGTTTTTTCTTAATTACAAAATCAGATACACAGAGAGGAGGAGAGACAGAGAGGAAAATCTTCATCCGATGATTCACTCCCCAAGTGACCACAACAGCTGGAGCTGAGCCAATCCAAAGCCAAGTGCCCAGAGCCTCCCACAGGTCTCCCACACAGGTGCAGGGTCCCAAGGTTTTGGGCCATCCTCAACTGTCCTCCCAGACCACAAGCAGGGAGCTGGATGGGAAGCAGGGTCACCAGGATCAGAACCAGTGCCCATATGGGATCCGGGTGCATTCAAGGTGAGGACTTTAGCTACTAGGCTACCATGCCAGGCTCTCAATGTGGTTTTAAGCAACCCAGATGCTCATCAAAAAAGGAGTCGATAAAGAAACTGTGATACATCTACTCTATGGGATACTACTCAGCCATTAAAAAGAATGAAATTCTACCATTTGCAACAACATAGTCTCAACTAGAGACAATTATACTCAGTGAATTAAGCAAATCCCAAAAAGATAAATATCACATTTTCTCTCTGACATAAGGCAACATTCATACAAAATACAAGATCAACAGATATACAGGTAAACATGCACATGCACATATTCATCTAGAGGGATGTATAATAGAGATTATAATATCCAAATGTGAGGATACAACGCAGTACGCATCTCTACTTCCAAATCAAAGATGGCCTCCCATTGAAACAGTTAAATATATCTTGACAATAGGATACTGAACTTCCTCTCATTGTCCATATCTGCAATGTCAGGATGCACTAAATAGTAGAATTATGGACTTATGATTGTTTTTAACAGACTATATTATTGTAATAATACAGGGGAAATCAGTGGGAGGGAGGGGAAATGTCCTAGAGCCTATGTAACTGTATTATAAAATTTAAAATAAATAAATTTTTAAAACAATTTTAATATAATAATAATTAAAAATATTTAAAATTTTAAAAATACTTCAGGTTGTACACAATAAGCACAATCCTCAGAAATTATATGGGTTAAGAGAAATTGGGGCCCAGAATTCTCGGCACATCTAGAAATTATGTTCACAAGTGCTTGGGGATTCTGGAAGATTGTATTTCCCATCAATCTGCCCTCTATCCCTTTTGCATCTTAGCTTCGGGTTAACTTCACAGAACACACCACTCAGGAGGCTACACTGATTAATTTGACTACTAGATGCTAAAATTAAATCTGCTCAATTTATCTCAGACAGCATTTAATTATCTCTGCTGTTAAAATGACTCCAAATAACAGGATAAAGCTAACCTGCAATGTTGACCTCATTCATGCCTTCCAGGGTCCTGCAGTCAGATAGTTCCCAGGGGAGACCAGGAGACCTTTAGGCCAGCAGGATGTAATCTAGTCTCAAGCCAGCCTATGAGCCATTACAAACTTGGCAAGGAAGTTTACATTGACCTTCTGATCTCTGATGCCATTGCCAGTAATTACAAAGGACAATAGATGGACCAAAAAAACCCAAAAACCCTCTGTCCTGCATGAGGGACATTTTGTGCCCATCCTTATGAGCAAATGTCCAAGTCAAACAGACACAGATGACTCTTACTGGAATTTGTTGTGTTTAAACTTGATGTGAAGTTAGTCTGGCTAAATTCCAAGCCCTGTGCCAGGAACTGGTCATAGTTTCCTTTACCACATATGGGACAGCCCAAGATCCCGCAATCATCAGACAACACATGGATTTGTGACAGGATAAAACAAGGTTGGCCTGGTCCTGTATTTTTACATGTGTAAAGGAGTCCTTGTTTAGACCTGTGCTAACATCAGGTGCAGGGGCATACTTTAGAAACAGGCATTCCTACAGACTGACAACTTGTAGCTGCTGCTTGGCTTGGGACCCAGCATTGAATCTATGAAGCAAAGTTCCCTAATTATTCCCACCCTTGTACCTCCAAACATCTAAGGTGATGCAGCCTCAGGTGCCAGTATTGTTGCTTTCTAGCCCTGCCATAAAAACAGGGTATTCCATCCAACATGAAGTTTTAAAACCAGCTACTCTGGGTCTAACAGGGTGGCTCAATAACTAAATTCTTGCTTTGCACACACCAAGATCACATAGTAGTGCTGGTTCAAATCCTGGCTGCTTCACTACCTATCTAGTTCCCTGTTTGTAGCCTGAGAAAGCAATCGAGGATGGCCCAAAGCCTTGAGACCCTGCACCCACGTGGGAGACCCAGAAGAAGCTCCTGGCTCCTGGTTTCAGATCAAATGAGCTCCAGCCATTGTGGTCCCTTTGGGAGTGAACCACCAAACAGAACTTTCTCTCTGCCTCTCCTTCTATCTGTAAGACTGTCTTTCCAATAAAAATAAATAAATCTTTTAAAAATAAAAACAAAATCAGCTACTCCCATACAAACTTTTTTTTCCGGGCAGATTTAAATACAAGAAAGATGTAGGAGGCAGAATAAGGAAACTTCTAAATATGGTAAGAACTGCACTTCTGTGTGTTTTTGTTTCATCTGTGGACAAAACTGACATACAGGTTTTTACAACCCAGAACTCATCGACCAGTATGAGCTTTGATATATGCAAGCAAGAATAGGATTACTAAAAACAGAAAAGTAGTTCTATAAATGTGATTAAATTAAGCATCTTGGGGGGGTGCCTTTGAATATTGAAATGGGTCCAATGTAATCACACAGATTGTTTTTTTAAGATTTACTGATTTGTATTGTAAAGTCAGATATACATAGAAGAGAGAGAGAGAGGAAGATCTTCCATCTGTAGACTCACTCGCCAAGTGGCTGCAATGGCCGGAGTTGTGGCGATACAAAGCCAGGAGCCTCCTTCAGGTCTCCCACACTGGTGCAGGGTCCCAAGGCTTTTTGGACCATCCTCAACTGCTCTCCCAGGCCACAAGCAGGGAGTTGGACAGGAAGTGGAGCTGCCATGATTAGAACCAGCATCAATATGGGATCCCGGTGTGTGCAAGGCAAGGACTTTAGCTGCTAGGCTACCGTGCCAGGCCCTGCAGAGATTCTTATAAACGAGGAAAACGAGCTCAGAGTCAGAGAATGTGATAGAGCAATAGCAGAGTCAGAGATGTGAACATGCTGCATTGCGGGCCTTGAAGATGGAGGGGGTGGGCACACGCTGAGGAATACATGTAGTCTGTGGAAGCTAGAAAGGGTAAAGGAAAGCCTTCTCTCACAGAGACCCCAGAAGGAGTGCAGCCCTGTCAACACTGTGCCATTGGAATCCATGTCAGATTTCTGAGTTTCAGAACTCCAAGACAATTGCTTTCAAGTTTGTGCCGTTCTAAGCTACTGTGATTCTGATAACTTGCTAAAGCAATATTAGCAAATTAGTCCAAGGACAAAGATATGTTTACAAAATTTGCAGCAACTCACTGACTTTCCTTCTTATATGAACCATTACAAGAGAACGCGGAACACTTTGCTGAGTGCACCAGGATTACCAGTATGCACCAGGAGATGGTTATCTTCACGTTGGACCATGTCAGTCCAACAAAGAATCTAGGTGACTAGAGCCAAAAGTAATTTTAATTAGGTCACCTGTGAAAGATAGAAGTATCTACTGCTGAAAGGTCAGAATTTATACACAAAACAGACTAGTCTGAAGTTGCCACCAAAAAAATTACCTCTCTGAGGACTGCAGCTGTAAGTCTGTTCCTTTTAAGGGTTCACCTTCTCTTTGCTAGATCATTGGGAAGGAATGGAAATTCCGTCTCTAAATGCCACTGTCTGTGACTGGAAGAATTCCATCTGGCTTCATAAGCATGCACAGCATGAATATCAATATACGTGCAGCAGTGAAGACACAACAACACCTTAAGTTGGTTCTGAAGCTGTTCCCTACAAACTCACCTTGATTTTCCTGCTTCGTGAAAAATGTCACCCAAACTAAATCAATTGAATTTTGGGTGCTTTTTCCCCAACAGTGTTGACATCTGGGACCAGATAAATGTTTTTAGGGGCTATTCTGTGCATTTTAGATATTTAGCAATGTTTCTGCTTTTATCCACTGGATGACAGTAGAAATCACCCCACCTCCATTTGAGACGTTAGGAAATGTCTCCAATCATTGCCACATGCATTAGGGGGTGGGAATTGCTCTGAGAACCCCTGCCCTATGGGAGCAGAGCCAAGACATCAAACAGCATTATTAAGCTCTCGAGTAACAGCTTTGGGACGTGCAAGAAGTAAAGGAAGCCTGGGCATGGGAAGAGGACACAGACTGTGAAAAATGGTTCCTTTTAACCTTTTGCTTCCTCAAACCCAGCTCCATGAAAATTCCCTTGCATGTATCCTTGCCATTTCCCCATCCTTGCCATCCCCGTATAGTTGGATGTGCCTTTGGATACTCTCGTGCTCAGCAGCCGCTCCCTCCAGGGAACTGGGTAGGGTTATGACAGGCACTCAGCATGTGAGTCCCTTGCCTCCCTGAACCTCCCCCAGCACATTGAGCTTTCCCCATGGAGCAGCAGAGGCCAGGATACAGGAGGTACACAGGGGGAGAACAGTTCCATGCCAAGAACCAAGGCCTGTGCCGACTTGCAGCTTGAAGCAGTTACAGATGCTTTTCTACTCAATGAAAGAGACATCTGCTTAGGGTTCACCTAAAGGTCTACTCCCTACAGGTGCCATCACTGATTTAGGTTCTAACAGATACGGGCACATGTGCTGGCTGGTTCTCCAAGAGTTTCCCTTCCTCCTGCTTCCCAGGAGAATGAATACAACCAAAACTCCAACTGGGCACTCTTCTTCCATCCTGCCCCTGGGCACTGAGCCTCTAGACATTCATCCCCAGGGTCACAGGAAGCCAATTCATTTGATCTACCACAAAAAATTTGTCTAACACCTATAAATTTAAAATTTTGTTGGGCCGGCAGCATGGTCTAGCGGCTGAAGTCCTCACCTTGAATGTGCTGGGATCCCATATGGGCGCCAGTTCTAATCCCGGCAGCTCCACTTCCCATCCAGCTCCCTGCTTGTAGCCTGGGAAAGCAGTCGAAGATGGCCCAAACCCTTGGGACCCTGCACCTGTGTGGGAGACCTGGAAGAGGTTCCTGGTTCCTGGTTTCGGATAGGCACAGCACCAACCATTGCAGTCACTTGGGGAGTGAATCATCAGATGGAAGATCTTCCTCTCTGTCTCTCCTTCTCCCTGTATCTCTGACTTTGTAATAAAAATAAACAAATCTTTAAAGAAAAAGTTTTTGAAAATGTTGAGCTATTAGTACTGTTGTTCTCCAACTCTGCATTAGTAGGAAGTTGGACCAGGGGCTGGAACTGGGAACCAAGGCCAAGCACTCCAATACGGAATGCTAGGGTCTTAAAGACTAGGCTACATGTCTGCTCCCAAATTGATACTTACTTTTAATTAACATTTTAAAAAGTTTGAGTTCTTTATTTTTATTTGAAAGGTAGATTTTATAGAGAGATAAGAAGAGACAGAGATCTTTCATCCTCTTGTTCATTCCCAAAATGGCCACAACACCCAAAGCTGAGCCAATCTGAAGCCAGGAGCCAGGAGCTCCTTCTGGATCTCCCACATGGATGCAAGGGTCCAGGGACCTGCGTGCCAGTCTCTGCTGCCTTCCCAGTTCTCAAATAGGAAGCTGGATCAGAAGTAGGGCAGCCTGGAGTAGAACCAGCATCCACATGGGATGCCGACAATGAAAGCAGAGGCTTTGCTTGTTATGACACCTCACTGGACCCTAATTGTTCTTAAGATGTATGTATTTATTTATTTGAAAAGCAGAGTTACAGATAGAGAAAGAAAAAAAGAGAGTTTCCTTCTGCTGGTTCACTCACCAAATGGGCGCAAAAACTGGAGCTGGGCCAAGCCAAAGCCAGGGGCTTCTTCCGGGTCTCTCACATGGACTCAGGAGCCCAAACACATGAGCAATCTTCTGTCACTTTTCCGGGCTCATCTGCAGGGAATTGGATCAGAAATGAAGCAGCTCAAATTCAAAAGGTACCCATATGTGTTGCCAGCCCTGAGGAAGCAGCTTAACCCCTGCACCACAAGGCTGACTCTGATACTTAATTTTAAATGCTGAAAGAAATATTTACTATATAAACGCTAAAGATATTAACCTAGAAGTTAATATCTAGGAAAAAAAATCTTAAATGAAGGCAACAAATGAAAGACTTCTATCAACAAACATAGCCTGAGAAAATGCATCATCAGCAAACCCACACTAAAGAGAATATTAAATAATGATATTTGAAGAGAGAAAATAATTCAGAAAGAAAGAAATAAACATTCAGGAAAGAGGAAGAATTATAAAAAGTTGTAAATATATGCTTAAATATAAAGAAACATTCATAACAAAAAATAACAATGTCTTGGAAAACTAGAATCTCTACTATAAAGTACAATGGTAAAGAATTGAGGAGAGTAACATGTTTAAGAGCCTGGCATTACACAGGAAAAAGTGAAAGGAACTACTAACATTAGTTGTTCATATTTCAAGATGAAATCTATAATATGTTTGATAGGCATTAAAATAATATCAAAATCATCCTAGGAAAATGATCACAACACACTCTGAGAGTCCTCTGGGTTGGAATTAATCATGGTCAGTTGGAGATCCATTAAACCAGCTTCTTGGCCAGAACCAGTTTGCTGACCAAATGAATTTCTAATACCTATTCTCATTTGATAACTGTAAGATTAGGGGGCAAAGGGTAGATTTCTTGATGTATTAATGCTTTCTTCTTGCTGTTTATTCTAACCTTTCCCTTTGCCTTCCAGGCTTGGGTAATGCATTCACAGCATATTCACCTCTCACCAACAGAGGGCAGTAGCTGACTGCCATCTCCTTTATTAGTCTTGATGTTTGAATTTTCCAGATAACTGGAAATGATAAAATCTGTGTTTGTTGTTTGATTCTGTTTGTTTCTGTTTATATTCCACTTCCCATTCGGCTCTGCTTACGGCCTGGGAAAGCAATAGAGGATGATTGGAGTTCTTGAGTCTCTGTGTCCATGTGAGAGACCCAGAAAAAGCTCCTGGCTTCAGATCGGCTCAGCAGCTCCAGGCATTGTAGCCGTTTGAGGAGTGAATCAATGGATGGACAAACTTTCTCCTTCCCTGTAAATCTGCCTTCCAAATAAAAATTAAAGAAGTATTTTTTTAAGACAAGAATGGAAATTCAGTAAATGGTAGGCAGAGCACAGGGAATGAGGGAGGCTGGGATCCATGTTTTTCTCATTCTGAACGTCACTCTTCTTTTAGAACAGAAAACATTTATTTCAAACTTCTGTGGAGGAAGACCTATGGTCAAAAGAACTGAGGGATCCCAGATCCCCTTCATATCTCACTCCTTGCCAGACAGGTGTATTCTACCCCAGCCCAGCTGGAGAACCCTGAGCATCATGAAGGAAGAGTGAGATCGGCTCACTCGGGAGTCCCTCTGGCCCTTGGGACAGCCCTGTGGTACCTGGGAAGGTATGACATCTCAGTGATCTTCTCTTCTGTGGGACTCCTAGCAGAACCTCCCTGTATTGTGACACCAGTACTTATTAGTGGGGCCCTGTGTGAGCCTTGTAAGATGCAGATCCAGGAGTGGGACTCAGGAGGAGGAAGAAGCTGGATGCCCAGGGTTGGGAGGCACTAACTCCCCATTTTACATGGGCTCTAGTGGATTTCATAAAATCCACTAGGTGATGCAACAAATGGCTGGACACAGACAGTGGTGATCGGAAGTTCAGGAAGACACTGATGGAGACACAATGGGCTTCATCTAAAAAATGACAGGGAGTTGGCACACTGAGAATACGCACTAAGCAAAACTCATCCATCATGAAGAGCAAGGGAAGGACAGTGACGGAGCTTCAGAAAGAACTAACAAAGAGGCAAGAGGTGGATTGTGGGAGTAGAGGGCTCAAAAGTCAAAAGGCGGCTGGGGTTTCAAGGAAGATTAATCGCCAGGGTCAAGTACTACAGAACAGTCAGCAAGGGCAGGAGAGGCCACTGAATTCTTGGCCAGCGCGTCACTGGGATGTCCAAGAGCAACACAGTGCAGCGACGTGGAAACTGTTTCCTTTGTAATTCTGGCTAGTTCTGCACAAACAAATCTCAATTGACTTTAGAGCTCTGATTTAATTGAAAAAAAATTGTGCTTGAAAAACAGATACCTTCCATCTACTGGTTCACTCCTCAAATGCCTACACCTGCCAGCGATGGGCCATGCGAGTCAATACCCCAGAACTCCACCCGGGTCTCTCACGTGGGCTGCAGGGGCCCAAGTCCTAGCCATCAACTGCTGCCTCCCAGAAGCTGGAATGGAAATTGAGGTGACACTTGATAACAGGCACTCCGATGTCAGATGCAGGTGTCACAGGCAGTGTGAACCTACTGTGCCACAATGTCTTCTAATACTTTTCTGTCAAAGCTCATCAGTTATGTGTATGTTCTCAAAGCACATTAAGAAACCTTTTTTTCTTAAAGGACTCCGTTGGTATGAGTCACCTGGAGGCCTCTGATACATCCCTGGCATATGGTGGAAACTTAAGGAAACATCACTCAATCCATCTGGGATACGAGTGGGAGGAAAGCATCTTCTCATATTGGAAATACAGTGAATCCTTCAAGATTAAACATGGCAATTGATCGATTAGTACACGAGGGTGGGGGGAATCTTTGGCTTATGGTTAAGATCCCATTATCAGAGTGTCCTGCCCACGTTCTTCCTTCCAGCTTCAGGTTGACCTCACCTGGGAAGCAGCAATTGATAGCTCAGTACTTACCCAGGTCCATGTGAGGGTCCCTGGTCCCTAAACTTCCCCTGAAGGCCTTTGGGTAGTGAACCAGTGGATGACAGCTTTCTGTCTGGCTAATAAAAGAAAAATCTCACTTAAAGAAACTACAATAACTCCAAGTGGAAAAAGGACAGTTATGTTTCCAAATACCTCAGTGTGGGAAACCGCAGCACCTTTCACCTAGAAAGATCTAATCCCATCTGGAGCTTATTTCAACAGCAGGTGTCAGGACCGCCCACGGCGTGCCGTTGCTCTGATTTGAAGCAGGTGTATTAGGAAGCATACACACAGCGGTGTCGCCTTCCTAAACCCACAGAAACGCGGGCGCTCTACCCGGACCGCGCCCTGCCCTTTGCCCGCGTGCACGCTCGGCCCGTGGGAACGCGGCGCGGCGACCTGACACGTGTGGGGGCCTCAGCAGTGACGGCCCCATCGTTGAACAACAACAAATGGCCGCGTCTTCCCCGTCTCGTCGGCTTCACTTCCTAGTGCGAGCTGGGCAGTTCCCCACAGACAGCCACAGCGGCCCGGAGCCCACCACAGGCTGACCCCGGACAAGGAGCGGCCCTCGCCCTTCCTGTCTCTCCGGGGCGGGGCGTGGGCGGGGCGTGGGCGGGCGGTCTCCGTGCTGGCTGGTTCCGGCCCGCCGCCGGCCCCGCCCCTGCTCGCGCTGTGTCCGGCAGCCCGGGGAGGGCGGCTGAGGCGGCTGAGGCGGCTACTACCTCACAGCGCCCGGGAACGCGCCTCGCTGCTTCGTTCCCCGCCCCGCCAGTCGGTCGCGGGAGGATCCCCACCGAGCGGCTCGCGGTGAGTTCCGACTCGGCGCTCCCGGCCACCGCAGACGGAGCGCCGGCCCCGCCGGTCCCCGGGGAGTGGGTGCTGGCCTGTTCCACCCGCGCCCGAGGCGCAGCGGGCCGGCCTGGGGGTACGGGCGAGCGCAGGGGAGGCGCAGGGAGGAGGGCGGGGAGCTCCTGTCGCCGTCCCCAGCCTGCGTCGCTCTGGGGACAGGGGTTCGGGCACTGGACTTGGTTCTCCGGGCTCCCCTTGGCTTTGGCTGCGCGTGCCGGCCCACCCGAGCCCGAGGCGGTGCCGGCCCCACTGGGGCGTCCTTGTCCAGGCCCGAGTGGCATGAGAGGGGGGACCTCGCTCCCGTTGTGCGGACCCCGCACCAGCAAGGCGAGGAAAATCGTGGCCGCGTGGGAGAGGCCCCGGAGCACCTTTAACAGCCTGGGAGACGGAAGCAGGATTTTGGGGTGCTTTGCCCAGATTCTTCCGGGGGTTGCCGGGTCCCCCCTTCCCCCCAAGCTTCCAGAACACAAGTTTCCAAACGATTTTTGCTTAATACTCCCTGACATTCTTAAAATTCGTCTGCTAAGGAGCTGGTGTGGCTTATGCCTGTAAATACTTAACGGTATAGAAGTAAAACTGAGGAATAATTTTTTTTTAAATTATCTTTAATAAGGAATCAGTGTATCTTCCCGAAAAGTGGTGAGGTTTTTTGGGGAACAGAAAGTTCCTGAAAATTGTGACCTTGTTTTTATTTCTGTAAACTTCCTTACGGTCAGGGTCAGGCTTAGAAGAAGACTTTATCCTGTATCTTATAGCTTCCGGATTCTTCCACACTGCGCTCCTGAAAGCAGGGGATTGACAAGAACTAAAGGTGTCTTGATGGGGGGAGGGGTCTCGCCTTGCAGACACCTGTGCCTTCCCTCTGGCCCCCACGTGGCGCGTGCGAGGCTAGTTGGCTGAGCCTGTTTCTTTAGTGACCTGTCCTCTGAGTGGGACTGCACACCACTCGTGCTGTGGACAAGGGTCGCCCCTCTCGTGGGGTACCACGCCTGACCTTTCAGAAGCTGTGTCCCACTGAGTCATGACCAGTCTTATGGGCCTCTTGGAGCTGACAAGGCTCCCCCACACCTCTGGTGGTTTGCCTAACAGGACCTGTGTGTTCAGAGTAATGCCGCTGGTGAGACCGTGCCAAGTGTGTAGGGGTTTGTGCGAGGGTTACCAAGTCCTGGAAAAGTTATTTCTAGAATAACAGGGAAACACACTTTGCCTTCCTTCTGTTGGCAATTGTGAAATAGCTAGCCTTGAGTTTATTGGAATATGATCCCCATTCTGAGTACCCTTTTCCCCTTCCCCTTTCAGAGGTGTGTCCCTGGGAGTGGTGCTTCCAGTACCTTCCAGAAAAGAGTGCTCATCCTGTGGGGAAAGTGATGTATGTCACCATATGCTCCTTGGCTTCATGCTCTGTTAGCCCAAGTTCAAGACAGACATTAATGTGCACATACATATATACATGTACACACACACACTCCCCCCTCCTCCAAGGAAGGAGATTCTTTGACCTCCCCTTTGTTCCTCTGTCCACTAGCCTTTCAGGTTCTAATGGGGCAGCTGAGATACTTGAGACATGTTTCCACACGTGTGGCTGCGTGGTCCAAAGGGGGAGATGAGAGTGGACCCTCAGTGCTGAGCGCCCACCGTGTTCATTGTCTAAGGACTACACTTGGATGGTGGAGTCTCATTCCTTTATTCTTTAGTTTACCACCCACTGTATCACCCAGGAAGCAGTAAATGAACACTCTCTCCAAGTGCAGCGTCTTTGACTTTGCAGTGAGGGGCTGGATCATTGAACAGGTGCAGCTGGCTCCTCCCAGTTGTGTTCAGTTGTGTGACTATCACCTTGAAGTAGGCCACGATGGGAACATTCACACTGTAGAAATAGGCAGATGCTGCCAATGAGGGCCTTTTCCCCTGTGGAGAGTGAGTTGTTAAATGATTTACTGACACATCAGTGCCACAGAATCAAGGTGCTTTTTGATTTGTTTTTCATTAGCAAACTGGCTTTTTAGTCTGGATAGACACCCTGAATATGGGGTATGTGATTATTAAAGTCCTCCAAAAATGTTAATAGAGAAGACAGTATGTTTTCACCATATCCTAGAATAGCTCAGCACACCTTTTCTGTGTTGGGGCAGTCTCCATTGCCGCTACTCGACTCAGCTGCCCTGTGAAAGCAGCTGTAGACAGTTTGCAAATCAGGGAACGTGGTTTTGTTCCATTAAAGCTTTGATTGTACGAAGCGCTAGACTGGTTTGTAGGCTTCTGTCCTAGAATATCAATACAGGAGACATGTTTCAATGTGGTTGTTGTATAAACAAGACATTTGTTTAGGGCTTTATATTCATGAATCCCGGGGCTTGGATTTACAAGGTGACCAAGTAGCAGGAGATACTGCCAAGAATTTAGAATTTTCCAATCCAGTGTGGAAGAGACCATAGTAGGTTGTTTAGGGCCAGGCATGTTCCGGCTTGAAAGACACAACCCTGGATGGCAAATGAGAGTCTGTTCCCCCATTCCCTTCCTGCAGCCCTTTCAGACATTCTACTTGGATAGATGGCCCTGCAAGTGTGGGAATTTGGGGTGTCCATATGCAAGACCTGTCCTGGATTTCACAGCTGTCCTGAATCCATGGTCAAGGACAAGGGTTTTTTGTTGGTTTAAAAAAAGAAAAGAAAGAAAATCCTCATCATGTTTATTTTACACGTTGTATGTGTTTGTATATTCATAGGTGTATGTAAAGGCTGTGTGTATATGATTAGATGTTCCCTGTTTTTAAAATAACCTGAAAATATTTGGAAGACAAACATACCTCTTAGCTAGTTTGGGGTAATGAAATGTGGTAAAAGGAAGTTTTCTTTTCCGCTTTACAGGGTTGTTTTGTTTGTTTGTTTGTTTTTGGTGTTTTTTTTTTTTCTTTTTTGGAAAGGTAGATTTACACAGAGAAGGAGATACAGAGAGAAAAATCCTCCATCTGCTGGCTCACTCCCAGAATGGCTGCAGTGGAGTTTTGTCCCTGGATTCCCATACGAGTGCAGGGTCCCATGGCCTTGGGTCATTCTCTGCTACTTTCCCAGGTCATAAGCAGGGAGCTGGATGGGAAGTGGAGCAGTCAGAACACAAATGGTTATCCAAATGGGATCCTGGTGCTTGCAGGCAGAGGATTAGCCAGTTGAGCCATTGTGGCAGCCCCAAAAGGAAGTTTTATTTGCTGTTTTGTGATACTAGATGTCTGGCTATCCTGCAATGTTTATAATGCTGTTACAACTTAAGAGTGAGACAAAAAAGAAAACAAACACACACAAAAAACAACAACAACAAAAAAGGAATCCCAATAACTGATGCCTTTAAAAGGGAAAAAAGGAAGAGTTCTGGTAAGAATATTGCCACCACCACCCTTCTCCAGTGAAATAAGTTGATTTGTCACATCACAGTTCTGAGCTGTCATATATAATAGCATTTATTAACATTTGGAGAGAACCATCTCAGATCAGCTCGTTTTAAGAAACATATTAATGTTTGACTTAAACTCTGTCCAGGGTTAGAAGTCCGAGATCAGAGAATACAACCCTTAGACAGCTGTAGACTTTAAACTGTTGTAGACTTTACACTGAAAAGCAATGTTGCACAGGACTTGTTCCTGTGGTCCCGTGTTCCTAAAGACAGCACGTGCACAGACAGGTACCTAAACCAGGGGAGTTTTGGTTTTGGTGTATAACAGTTACTTTTTGGATTTCTGTTTCTTTTTTAAAATAGATTTCCATCAGCATTTTCTAAAAAGAACAAATACTAAATTTGATCTGACCAAAATTAATGCCTACAGTTAATTGTAAGACATTGAGAACACAGTGCCTCCATTTTTCTTTGCTCTTTTTATTTTGCTTTATTTTTGTCTAATTGAAAGGCAAGAGTTATAAAATGGGAGGGAGAAATAGAACCTTCCATCTGGTGAATCATTCCCCAAACTGTTGCAAGGAAGCCAGGTCTCTGGTCTCCTAAGTGGGTGGCAGAGGTCGAAGCACCTAAGCCGTCCTCTGCTCCTTTCCCAGGCATGTTAGCTGGAAAGTGAATCTGAACCAAAAGAACCAAGATTCTAACTACGAGGTGTGGATGCTTCAGGTGGCTGTTTAACTCACTACAGCACAATGCCAGCCCCTCTTTATTTTTCTTCACACTGACCACCAGAATGCCAGGGGACAGCCTCCTGCTTCTCTCTTTGTCCCAGTGGCAAATGGAAACACAAGGAGTGTGAGGCAGGGGAAGCAAAAACTGAAAGCAGACAGCGTGATCATAGGAGTCACAATGTGCTATGTCTACTTCCCCAAGCAGTACATGCCAGCCCTCTCCCTCAGCCGACACAAAGGTTACAAGTTCTGCATAGGATTAGCATCAGCTCCCAAGAAGCCATCAGCCAGTCATTTCTCTGGATCTGTGGGCCTTCTTTTCTGATGTTTAGCTACTTTTTTTTTTTCTAAAGATTTATATATTTTTATTGGAAAGTCAGAATTAGAGAAGGAGACAGAGTGAAAGATCTGTCTGTTGTTGGTTCACTCCCCAAATGGCCACAATGGCCAGAGCTGAGCTAATCCGAAGCCAGAAACCAAGAGGTTGTTCTGGGTTGACCTTGTGGGTGCAAGGTCCCAAGGCTTTGGGATGTCCTCGACTGTCCTCCCAGGCCACAAGCAGGGAGCTGGATGGGAAGTGGAGCAGCTAGGATATGAACTGGCACCTGTATGGGATCCCGGGAGTGTGCAAGGCAAGCACTTTAGCTACTAGACTGCCACTCTGGCCTCTGTTTAGCTATGTTTATTAGAAACTTAGAGGGAGGAGGAGAGAAGAACTGTTTGGTTTCTGTGGTTAGGAACGTGAATAGCCCATCCACCTCACTTGTCCTTCTGGCGGAGCTGAATCTGCATTTTTTTGTAGCTGGTGTTTACTGACTGCTGCCACAACTTTTCATCTGT